TTGTTGTCTGGGTAATTCTCGTGTGTTTCGCTATTATTCATCTATGTTTGCATCCTTATAACGATTCTCATTCTAAGTTTGCTTCTGAAAACTTTTACGAGCCTCTCGTCTTGTTGGCGCTGTCCATGTCTTTCATCCTGTTGAGGTTCTCGTTTGTGGAAAGCTCCATGACGTATTCAGCAGCTTATGTCTGGGTTGTAATGATTGTCAATTCTTGTGTACTACTGTTTCTTGTCGGCACAATCTTTTTCCGTCTGGCTACAAGTGGGAATGGAGACAAAAATAGAAGGAATGATAGAAGCGGTGACGATGAAGAAAGAAGAAATTTGTTGTCCATTAACAGTTCAAGGAGGAGATACGTTGAAGTCGATAACATTGCTTAGACATTTGTCCAGACAACCTGCTTGAGTACATACCATACCATACATACCAAACCATACATACCATACTGACAAATGGTGCTTTTCGCGTGCGCCGATTGGCCAGTTCGGATGTGACTGGCAAACACTATCTAGAGGTCAACTAGGGCAGATTAGTGCCACACCGAGGACTAACATAAAACTTGACGCTTACGTTAAAAAGTTTTACTTTCAAGTTGTTTTAGATTCTAATACTACAAATACTACAACTAATGACAATCGTTAACCTTATTTTCATGATAAGCGGGCCAAGGGTGGTGTAATGGATGAGTGGAAACTTCAAGTAGTGAACAATACTATTAGCTGAAGGCTTTACCGAGTTTCTTTAGCTTAGTAAAATAATGTAGGCAACCACGCGTAACTTTCGGGGAAATTTCCCTCCATCTTTTACCTTGAGTAAACACCAACCACATATGGACTTAGGTCATGGTGATATACTGAGGCAAAGTACTAGAACGCACTAATATTCGTGTTGTGGCTAGCTCAAATGCGTTTTTAAAAGTAGGTTCGGAAAGTTGTTTCCCATATTTAGTAACTGCCAAGTTCATTGTAAATACTACTGGAAATTTCAAAGGTTGTAAAATTTAATCTATTGCTTTGATTAATTACTCTTATCAATGCACATTACATCTATCTTTGGTTGTGGAGCACCTGTAAACTAGTGAAAGCTAAGCGTGTTTCTCCACGCCAGATAAAGTATGTATGTACGTAGGACATTCTGCTAATGTAAGAGATTCTGCACGCATGTACTACAGCTTAAAGCTTTGTCCCAGTATTGTAAACTTCTAGAGGTTGTGAAGTTGGATATTAAAATTCAGGTTTGTCCTAAGTTGCTTCTCTATTCTTTAAGTTAAGTTGAAACGTACTGTACATTCAGGATCTTTCACAATTTACACCTCTAATCCGTACTCGTAAACTCTTCATTTTCTGTTCGCAGGCCCCGCTGGAGCTAACGTAAAACCCGTTTGTTTCTATAGCCTTTCGTCTGGCTGGGTCTAAAGCAATATTTTTCCTTTTCCCGCCTGAAAACACTCTAGCCCAATAGTACGCAATTTACCGTCAGTTTGTCCGGCTGTACAGCCAGAGAAAGGTTTTGGCCAAAGTTATCAAAAGCCCAAAATAGGACCGACCACCTAAGAGAGCCTGAGTAGAGGATGCGTTGAATTCACGTAGATCACACGTTACAAGGAGTAATGGTTGATTTAATAAATTCAAGATTCACCACTTAAACTTTAAGACCTACAACCATGAAATTTCTTGTTCTTCACAAAACAAAGACCAAAATTAATGCAGAAGTTAAAACAACATAACAATTATACCACCTTAAGATATAAAACATAATGGTGAAAGATACACAGAGTTACAAGTTAATTTTGTAGGAACGTGCACGGTATAAACTGGAGCTTGTACGGAAATGCTATCAATAGGGTTTGAGAGGCCTCTTTTTTATTTAATTGTCTACAAATACGCCTGAATACTTTGCGGGATTCTTCTCTTGTCATCATCCTCAGGACTGTACACTGACTGCATATTGTTCAGCAAGCTGATCAAAATCTTTCTCCTGAATAAGCACAG